ATATTTTCTTTAACGTTAAAAAAAAAAGCAACTGAAAATCATTAAATTATTCTGCGAACAGTTTTAAACTTTGCAGATAAGAATTTCTTCAAATCAATATTTTTCCAAACAAATTTTAAGTCAGGAAATGAGTACACAAACCAAATCAGACTTTTTTTATTTTGCAAATTATTTCCACGGTCAAACATTTTTAATTTCCTTTGGCCTTTTATTTCTTCGAACACCGTTTGTAAAAAGAAAAACATCAACTCTTCATACCAGCTAGAATCTCGTCAGCTTTTTTATGTAACCAACATAAGAAGATTACACTGTAAATTAAGTACTTTGCTCGTTTAAAATTTAAAATAGTAATATGCTTAAACCCAGTCTGTTTATTTTTCTTCAAATAAAGCTGTTGTAAACCGATCGCACCTGTTTATGTCCGGTAAACACGCACTTTAACCTCTCCCCGTTCGTTACATAGTCATTTCGATAAGGTCCATCTCTAATCGCATTGACAGGTAGGTACTTCTTACGTTATTATTATTACTATTGTTAATATTATTTGCGGCCACCGACCGATCGTTAAGCTTTGTCCGTGGCGGTAATACACACGGTTAAGACGATATTAAAAGCTCTTGTCGCCTGCCTCCCTCGCCGTATCGCCCTACTCCTATCCCAACCACCGTTGGTTGCCCGTGAGTGTCTCGACGGCTCAGTGCTGTGTGTTTAACAGACTGGGAGAAAATAGACGAGAGAATAGAATAGATAGGGAACATGGCAATGGTAGATAGCGACAAACGCAATCGATAAACCACCACCGCCGCCGTCTCTTTTCCCACACACACACACACACAACCGACAGATAGACCGAGACCCGTTGGAGCCATATACACACAAATGCTTTAAAAAAAAAAAAAAAAATTACAGGGGGGAAAAAAGGGGAATACGAAAGGCCATTAGGGATGATTGGATCGGGTTAGGTCCGGGAAACCCGAGATACTAGCAATAATACATATGGAAATTTAATTTTTAACGGTAAGGGATGCCAGGAGGGGAAGGGGTGTCCGTGTCTGGACAACTCCCAATAGTTAAAAAAAAAATAAACAAGGAAACCTCACCCGTAATATTCAGAAGGGTTTATGTCGCGAAATTAACATGGAAAACATACATAGACGAATAATATTATTTTTAAGCACCTAGTACTACACACCACCCATTGAGACAACTCCCCCTAAACATTATTTTGGATTTTTCCAAAATTCGAAATTGGTTTTCCAATCGTTGCCTTGCCCCCAAACATAAACAGTACTTTGAAAAATGTATCCGGACTTGCCATTTGTTTAATAAAATGTAAAAAAGTAATTATCAACAACAACAATGTTTAAAACTAACTTACGAACGTTCGGATTGGCAATTAAGAATTAAACTAAAGAAACCAATAAATCTAAAACAGTTCTACCTAAGAACTCAAAACCAAAGCGAGACCACTTAATTATTTTCAATGAATTTTTATGTATAATTAAGAGTTTCTTCTGTCAAAACGATGTACAGCTGTGTTATTGATCATTAAATTGACTACAACTTAACTAATTACCTAATCTAACTTCAATAGTGTTGATGTAATCGTTTGGGCAATCTCAAGCGTTTTCAATTTGTTTAAAAACAAATTGATCGGCTAGACAAATTCTAAGGCTTGGTTAGAGGTTAGGGTAGGTTTGGTTTCGTTAGGTTTTAGCAAAAAAAAAAGTATTGATCTATTTTAGTACTTGTTGTTGTAATATAATATTATCAAAACCGTTTGTTTTTATCACTCCGGCCAACGTGGAACGACACGAGTGCGATTCCGGCCGTGGAAATTCCAACAGGTAGGTTAGGTAATATTTTTATCGGTTTTATCACGATTGAAATATACAAGTTTGAGCACATATTATACACCTTCTTCATCAAATATTCCATGATAATAAACAAATACGTCAGCGTAACGGGAGCCAAGATCAAGCACACCAGTAAAATGTACACAATTAATAGTAAAATTGATATGGCCTTAAGCTGCCATTTTATTCCTGGAGATAACAATATTGGAGACGATAAATGCAAGAACCTGTACACATCAACCAAGGGGTTTTATTTAACAACAACAGACGCGTTTGACGCATAATTAATATTCTAAGACAAACACACAAGCACAACAACCAAACGGCGGCTATTCGACTGACCTTTAACGCGATAACGCTGATAGTCCCGGCGGCAATCGTATTCCTTGGGGAATTTCATTTTTCTCAGGGACAAGCACCTGAGCAACAGGAAGCTTTTGACGTCGAACTTGACACGCGGAACGAACGAACGATTTTTCCAACCCCCACCGACAGGGGTGGTAGTCCTGTTCACCACGTAAACCATCGAATAGGGCATTTCATAGTGTCCGGACGAAAACGACGAGCGAATCTTATATAAGAACACGGTTTTATTACTGTTGTATAATATATATATATATATATGTTATTGTATTTTAATAATATTATCATCGACGACAACCGCGACACGGACGAAAACACCGACTGACCGGCAAAAGAAAACGTTATCGCCGGTTTGTTATCATGAAATATACAATTATGATAAAAATATACACAATAAACCGCTCACATATTAATAAACTGTACACAGTCTGGACACGGAGCAATATTATTATAGTGCCTTGCCCGAAGAGATTAAGGTCATAAATGGAAACGGGACTGAACTGACTTTAAATATTTTGTTCGCATAAATAAAACTGAAAAAATTACCCCTAATGTTCCTTTAGAGAATACAAATTAATACAACGTTCGGTCGATATTTAACAGTGTTGCCACATAGGGATTTATAGAATTTCTGATAAAAATCGTTAATAGTTTATACTATGATAATATATACTATTATTATTACCTAAAAAAGTGATAACACTGATGATACCCACCGTGCGGTAGGTTAGCCTAGGTTATGGTATTGATTTTAAAGTTATGATATTTTGTCAAATCGAAAGCCTTTTCCGACCTTAATCAGTGCATAATTTTTTGTTATTATGTAATTAGTAAGAAAAGGCTTTCGGATGAAGTAAACTCAATTAGTAATTAACCTTTTTGATAAATCCCAGAATTTTTGTAATCGACGGCAATAGGATAGTACCAAGAGAAAATAATTACATTAGGTTTGGTCAGAGGTATATAATTATTTTTAATGCCATGAAATAAAGTTTCAAGTCGTTAAGGATTATGCAAAATATAGTCGGAGGAGGGAGGGGTGGGCATTTAATTTGAATAGGTTATGAAATTTTACATAAAAAAAAATCATTATTAAAATTGTCGCTCTCTTTGAGTGTATATATATTTTCATAATAAGACCTAACCGTCGCTTCCCGGAAAACTGTTCATATTTTCACTTAAAAAATAAGAAAATTATGAAGAATTTGAGCACAAAGCGCGTGGGAATGGTTTGTTTATAACAGTATAAACATTTTATACGTTTTTTTACCGAGTACAATATGATATGCTTATGGAAATAATACTTTTTTTTTTTTTGCGTGCCTTTTTACAGATGTACGTTTTTTTTACATTTCCGAATAATCGAGTCTTCTCAGAAAAAAATAAGAGTAGGTACACATAAACTTTATTGGCAATATTACTTGGCGCGGACAATGACGTTTCCCATACGAAAATTAAACGTCGTTTGCGTGTCCGACGTGGAAGAAACTCAACACTACTTAAACCCCCTCACCCCAAATGAATAATGTTACTTTAGGATTTATTTTTTTATAATATTTTCGCGATTACGGACAAAGCTTTTTAACACGAACGTAATGTGAAACTCGCTTTGCTCGGATTCAGAGTCGGGCGTTCTTCGAAAAAGTAGAGATGAACAAAAAAAATAGTTTAGAAAATAAATATCGCTCTTTATTTCTTATTTATGTTATTAATTTAAGATACATTCGAAATTATCCGAAATAATTAGTTATTCGTAGATAATAAATACCAAAAGCAAATTATTTTGTATTTATCGACCTGTTACAAATAATAATATGATCATTATTTGCACATACGAATAAAATTATCATTTTTTGTCATATGATAACAATTTCCTTACCTAACCTAACCTAACTCAGCTCTAAGTGAATGTGGTGAATAGCGTATACAAGCATAATAGTATTTGGGACCAGTTGGCTGGCTAAGTCTCTCTGTTTAAAATGAAATTAAGGGAACAAGAAACCAACCAAACCTAACCTAATCGAATCTAACCGAACCTAAACCAAACTAAATACGAGCAGTTTTTTGTTTTCAGTGAAAAACTTGCACCATATTTTTAAAAAAAAAACGAACTAGTCGCATAATTTTTCATTCAACTAGACCGTTTTGAGTGTCTGTTGAAAATAACGTGTGATGTTAATTATTTTTTCTTATTTTAAAAACGCAAATGATCTCAACCAACCTAACCATAACTGACTAAGCGCGCCTCGCACAACACTATAACGCATGCAATAATAATAATAATAATTATTATTATTATTATTTGACTGGGCGACGGACCAACATCAATATCGGACACAAACATGTGCGAAAATGGTTTATTCCGTTTTGTGTTGACACACCGTGTCGCTGTTGAGAATAATTTATTACAACGGCCAGCGCAGTGTTTGTTGTACGGCCGTTATTTATTTATTTTTTTTTTGTTTGTTTGTTGAATCAATATTTCGGACTGACGGTCGGTAAAAGAAAAACTATATGATATAATATACTATAATACAACGTCTGTCTAACGAGAGAACGGCACTGCGCAGAAACCAAAACGCGTCACTGCCGTTTGCGCATGTGTTTTGTTTTACCGCGCAGTACCGTTCTCTCGTGAAACGGAGGAGAGGAGTGCATGACCGCGTAGAGCTGGAAATCGTCGAATACAGTGTGTGTTGTCGTCTTGTCGGATTCGTTATTTAATTGAATAGAGTCAACTGTTTCGCCCCAAGACAACACCGTGAGCATCTAGAGACTTACCGCTGCCCTGCGGTGACTTCAGTGAAGGCGGTTGCTTGAGCACGTGCTGGGGTACGAGTCCTTCGGTGCAATCCGCCGGCAACCGCACCATTACCATGTCGTTGATGCCGCCGTCGAGCACCTCCACCTGTTGGCCTTTGGCCACAGACACCTGACCGGCAGCTGTCGCGGAATGATCCGCTATCACCCATGTCATTTCCACGCCAGAGTTCTGCAAAATAAATCAAACAAAGTCGGTCACTATGAGAAACTAACCCCTAACATACGACTGAAAGTGTCAAAAAAAAATCGAAGTCGTTTGTTCCTTCATTGATTTATTGCAAATTGACCGCCGCCGCCAAAAATGACAAAACGGTAACAAGTATTATGTTGTACATAATTCATAAAGAAGAAAATAATTATAAATTGTAAATTACCGCCGAAGCACGACCTCCTCGACTTGGCATGGGAATCCGAAAATAAAAAATTGTTTAACCCATCACAAGACGTGAATCCATCTGTTAAGTCATAAAAGTTATGTGCACATTATGTGTCACACGTGGCACACTTCGAGACGATTTATTTTTACGATTTAAACGGATTACAAATCCACAGAACGTCTGCAAACTTTCTCGTTATGCAAAACTTTTTTAATTTAAAACCATCAGCAATGCGATCATCTATACATAATATATTAGACCTTCACAATGTCTATAAACCCTCTAAATGCGCTTTCTTGTTTCTGCTAATTGAAAAATAGTCTCGAAATTACTAAAAGCGAGTTCAAGCTTTCTTTTTTAAAAACGCCAAAGAAAATATGTAAACTATACAAAAGACCGCCGTTACTATGTTGAAATGTTAAAAATTAAAGAAATGGTATAATTTACTACAATTGCTAGCAGCAAAGTACTAATTTTAGATTTTTTTTAGTAAACACAGGACGCTATGAAAAGAGTGGAAATTATTTAGAAACATTTTACAAAAATATTTTTTAAAAAAACAAAATGCATACAACGCTTGTTCGTAAATATAGTTGCTCGACGAAAAATACTTATGAAGGTTGTAAGTTATGTTATTTTTTAACACCTTTCGTGTCATGTCAATAATGAATATGGATTTTTTTTTATGACACCTACAAGTGTAACCTATTAATTAACGAGCAAACATAATATAATGCGTGTACTATAATAACAACAATATCAATATGTATAGTGTAAACGGCTGTTAAATGCGCCATTAAAATTTAGGACAGGTTATCGTTATAACTGTATTTAAAAAGAAATTTTGTTTTTTATTATGTTTACCACTTGAAAATCACAGTTTACACCGACTACACTTAAGAGAGAGGTTTTTGAGACCCTTAGAAAAATTCAAACCCGTTTCGACACTCATTGTCAAAAAATAACGTTTCGATTTTTTTTTGTGTATTAAAAATAGCAAGTGCAAACAATTTCAACGGAATTTGAAAAATAAAATGTAAAAACAAAAAATACCGGAATGTGTAATATATTTCATATTATACATAAATATAAAGCGAGTATAATGTGCGTTCACGGAAATCTCTACTAAATCATTGCTGTCGTTAAGATGGTAAAAAAATGTATATTTATAAAATATATAACAACTTTTACTACTGCCTCCAATATATCTAGTGGCCAAATAATTATTTATTAATACATACATCGGGACGACAAAGTGATATATTATATTATATTTTTTTATAAATGTAAAATTTGGCTGATAAAATCATATTTTGTATTACTAATATAAGTTTGGGCGTGGGCAGAGAGAGAAACCTGTCTAAATACCAGAAGTGAATGGCTGCAACTGATAAGGGGAAAAATAAATTCGCTTATATCGTTAAACCTCTTATAGTGATGCCACAGAGTAGATTATAAATCAGAGAGGACGCTTAATGTAAACAACGATTTTCGGATCCTAAAATGATATCTATGTACATCTATAGAAGTAACATTACACCGAATGATAAACGAGAAGATGGCCGCCACGTTATTTAGCGATAAGTATATCCACCGTTTTACATTTTTAGAGTATCACACCCTCATGATACCTTATCAGTAGTCCCTTATCAATCGAATCCTTATCAATGGTCCCTTTATCACTTCTTACTTTTTGTTCTAACAAATCATCATCAGTGAGGTTTTTTTTAAATAATAATTTGATAAATACTTTCCTTATGATTTCCGTACTTGATGTCCGGTTTAAAATATAAATTCCAGCTTTTAGTTTTTGTCCACTTATTATTATTGTTGAACGTACCCGCACGAGGAGGATTCGAACAAAACAACTATTGCTTGTTTCGTAGCACGCGTTAGTATTATTATACATAATATATATCGTACGACGGTTTGACGTTGATGAATTTTCATCGTTCGGTTTTCAAAGGGAATTTTAATTAGTACAGAGAGCGGTTCGTTACAACGATGAACTCGATACGGTAATTTCGCCGGCAAATTCACTATAATATTATACTTAAGGACTATATATGAGATCACGTTGCATAGGTTTTTCAAAGAAAACTCTATACAAGCTAGCAGCAGCCTCAAAACCGACATTATCAAAGTATAAAATAAAATACACCAAGTGGATCACCAAGGTCTCGATGGGGTTAGCTTTTCTATGATCTCTTTGGCTGTCTCTCTATCTCTTTCTCTTTTACACACATACACTCAACATATGTATTTTTTTTGTTATCTATCGGTTTACGACCGAATTTCACGCATCGCAGTTTATTTGCTTTACGAGGCGCTCCGTCATAAAACTCATCGCCAAAACGAATGCATTATTATTATACCGTTTCTTTTGTTTGTTTATACATTTTTTTTTTTTTTTGAGCAAAATAAAAGCAAATATTTAGTTACACGGCTAGAAAATATATTGTTTCGAGAAAGAAACAACGAAAGAATGCGGTGGTCGCCAAAGACAAATAATGGAAATGAACTGACTTTATCGATAATAGCTGATGATGTTCTAGTGATCATAATTCAAGCTGATAAAAGACGTGATAATATAGAATCGACAGCTCTGGCGATCGTTAAAAAAACACTATAATGTTTAAGCACACATTTCTATTACACTGAGCTTATAATTATTGTACGAGTAGTAATTACCGGCAACCAACTGTTAACGTGCACTATCGGATTCCCAGACGTGACGTTAAAACGACAAACGGGTTATTAAAAAAAATGTACTGATGGAAAATCGATAAACTAATACAAAACCTATACCGAATTACACACACACAATATGCGGCGACTCCGATAAAAAAAAAACAATAAACGAGCAGCACACGTTTTTTCTTGTTTTAATACGATTCCAAAGAATCGATAAAATAAATTAAACAGCGCGCGTTAATCGGTCGAATTTCATAATATGACTCACGAACAGATTGAACTTTCATTCCGAAAGACTACTTGTCAAGTTGTCCTGTTGTTTGCTAAACGGATATGTAAGGACAGATCATTTCCATCTATTGATCAACTCTGGCAGCCAAACTATCGTCTAACCAATGCATTCAGCATTGTCAAACAACAATCATGCCAACCGGTCCTACTGTAGCACATTCTCTCAAGGTAATTATGTTTGCATAATGCTTTGGCTTTTTAGCTTAGACCCGTCCCGGCTTCCACGATAGCAAAATAACAGTCCTGCTTGCAAACAATCGTCGACTAGAATGATTGATGGACACCCTGAAGTCCACACTGCAGTTAATTGCAGTGTCACAATGATCGTATCGATTTGGCAGATAAAAAAACCTTCACTCTGAGCAGAGGTCGTGGAGGGTCACTTCTCCAAGCCACGCTGGACTGCCGGCTAAATCAAATTGCGAACCAAGATATGTTTCTGGCTACCTTTAAACCCGACGACGGACCCCGTTGACATAGCCCTAATATGCTAAGCTAAAAACTTCTCTTTATCTTCTATACAAACACTGGAAGAATAGGACCGAACGCCACCACAAGATGGCTCGTTAGAAGAAAAACTAATTAAGCTTTTTAAAACCGCCAAAATCACCGAGTTCCAGACAATATCTCGTTGAAGCCATCATAGTTTAGGCTGATTCCTGGCCGTTTCAATATCTTTCAAACAAATTCTAGCGCTGACCATGTGCATCATCATCCCGCATCGGCCAATTGCCTCATACAAGAAATTCTCCACACACTATACAGTACCAAAAAGGGTGCAGATAAAACGAACCCATGTCCAACACTAACCAACGAACTAGCTCGAGGACGGCCTAGTTTGTTACTGTAGCAAAAAAAAAAAAAAAATCAAACGTAAAACATGCAAAATGGTCATCAGCTGTCGGAAATCAGATTCAGGTCGGCCGCTAATTTAATTAGTACCGTCGTTAGATCCTTTCGTTTGAAAAGTTTATGACAGGCATTCGTGATTTTTTGTGTTGGCCCTGCTAGTAAAAAGTACACATTACTAATTAATATTACTGGTAGTCGTGGGATTATCCCAACTCTTTTCGAGTCCTCCTCGTTTAGACCGTTTGGACAGTAGTAACATCATGGTATTAGTTATTATAAATGGCACCGTATTTTGTTTGTCGTTTACAATTGGGGCGACTAGTAATACTATATCTCTGCCATATTATTGTGTTACCGTTTTTCAAAATAAACATCTCGTCCGTAAAATACGTTTCGTAAGAGTTGTACAATATGGTGTACAAACGTCATCATAATAAAATGCGGATCATTTTGTTGCTGTACCAACATTTTAAATAATTTGTACAACTATTCGCCGGCAGAAATTCAAAGAATTGAAGCTAAAGTCGGACTACAAGTGCTTAAAGCTCTTTAAAAAAATGACCAAATGTGGCAATTTACAATTTTTTAACGTAAAAAAAGGTTTTTTTTTTAAATCAGTAATATTAATTATAAGCTTTTTTATTTATTCAACACACATATTTTGAACGCAATATCATAATAATTAACGCTAATAAATTACAGTACTTATTCATTACACATTGTAGATAACGCAAACGAGTTTCCCTTGGAAATCTTGTCCTCTATCTCTTTTGTTGTAGTTTTTTTATCTATAAAAAACACTTTGAAGGGTACCTTTTTCGGTTTTTCGTGAAAACCGTTTTTTTAATCGCCGTCAAGAATGCTGATAGTGCGAAAAATTAATTAACTACCATAAATGAGTGATAATTTAACCAAACTAATAATTTTACATCACAGTTTAACTATTTAAATTAAGATTTTCAGATATAATCATTCGCAAAAATCGCCATTTTGAAGTTTTATTTAAAAGAAATTGGCCATTTTGACCAGGACACGCTTCTGGTTTAATAAGATCAAGGGGGAAGGGTTTTTTTTATCTTGTAAGACTTTTTGCCCATTCCATACCTGTGGCACGGCGCGCCCCGCGACCGGATGTTGGCTTCGGTACGAGCCCGGCGTGTCGATGGTGTGCTGCCGGGTGAGCGCGGCGGACGCCGTGGTGGCGCTCGCTTGCCGGAACCACGGCAACGATATCTTCCGCCGGTTGGGCTTGACGGCGACGGTGTCCGCCTGCGGGAAACGAGCGGCGGCCACGGCGGGACGCATCGGCGGCAACGTCGTTTTGGCCGTCACGGCGGAGGAACCGGCGGCGCGGCCACCACCGGTGCTCGGTGCTGCCATCGACCAAAGCGGTTCGCCATCGACTGGCGGGCCCGCGGCCGCCGCCGTAGCCGTCGACTTGATATGCGTGTGGTCCACAAGTACGGCAGCGGCGCGCGCGCGAGGGTGGATGGGGGTGAAGGGGCACGTGGAGAAAAGGGGGCGAAAAAAAGAAAAACCACCCCGCACGACCTACCCCCCGGCGGAGCGGATTATCCTTATCCGAATACCGTTGGCTGCCGATCCCGCCCGAAGTTATCCGACGATAGTTTATAGATATAGATTTTCCGATCAATCTTGCTCGATGGAAGTACATTTTGAATTTTCATTTTTAACTTTATTGTAAAAATGTAAACCAAGAAAATACTTTAAAAAATTAATCCGAAATAATTTCAAAATCGAAGCCACGAGACAAATGTTTTTTTTTTTTTTTAACTTAAATTTGAGTGTTCTCATAGGAAAGTGCTAAGTAGAAATATAAAAAATAAGTCCTGTATGCATTATAAAAGTCTGGGGGAAAAAAACTTACTATAAAAAAACAAATACATCTTTGATGTGTTATTTTATGAGAACAAGCTTAGTGTCGAGTTTTGTCTATATAACATGCCTTAAAATAATATGTTATAGCGAAGAAGCCTCTTTATCAATTTTCGGTTTAGATTTAAACACTATAGCTGGCATTATTGGGAATAAAATATGAACAATGTTTGTATAGAAATAACGAAACAATTTTAGAATCGATAAACTTGTAACCTAACCCAACCATAGCGTATAAACCCTTGCCACCCTAACACCGAATGAATGTCGTTAAAAGTTAAAACCATTGCAAAGACAATAATGTGCTTAACATTTTTAAAAAAAATCATGTAATTATGGTAATTGAAATGAAAAAAAAATGTGATGTTGATAACAAAACAGATCATATCAAGAAAACACAAAATATCAATTAAAACAATTTACAAATAAATTATACATAAGTTCATTCACTTTAGAGTTTTAAAGTTTTGCACATCATAAAAACACATTTCCTCCCCTACATTTTCATAGTTTTTGAACTATTGTCCAATAATAAAAGATATATTTTAAACAATTCTCCAAAATTTAAAAAGTCTACACGCCGACCTCGAGAGTTGGCAAGTGTTTTTTTTTTTAGACACTCAATAAAAATTGAGTAGGAGTATATCATTTTATATATATATATTTTACAAATATTTTTAATTTAAGACATTTTCATATCATACTAATTGTTATTTTTTAAATGGTTTTTCTGTTTCATTATTATTTAAAACAACCCTTAAAAAAAAGGTATCTCGCGTGCGGTTAATACAAACAATTTTATTTTATCGATCCAACTCTCTCTCTGCTCGTTGTAGGGTTTGCATTAAATAACATTGTGCACTGTGTATATATAAATACATAAGGCCCGGACATAAATATTTTATGATAATCACCAGGGCACAATGTAGTAACGCCAACGGTGACGACGAAATAACGTTTGAACCGACTCGCTAATTCCCTGTTGGGAAAAGACAAATGATATTTCCCGAAAATTAACCGCATTAACTACATTCAAAAGCTGGCAATGAAAAAAAAAACAAAGTGGGAATTGATCATTAATTATGTATGGCCATTATGAATCCTATTAGCGATACTTTACATATATATATATATGTATATTTTATATTCTTCCAACAAAGTTAAATTGACAAATTTTGTACAACGAAAAAAAACATTTATCAGTTGAACATTTACTATCTAAATTGTTCTAAACATCACACCTGACCTGACCTAACCGGTTCTTTATTGAGTTTGTTTGTACCAAAAAAAAAAATAGTCTTAAGAAGGTGGTAATGGGCCGTGTGGGTATAATAAACTGGGTTTTTTTTTTAAATAAATTTCTCATTTCCAAGCTGATAATTTTATTCGTGTCGAGGTTCATCAAAAAAACTGCCTACATTCCTATCCTTGAGTTGGGTTTTGGTTAGGGTTGGTTAAGTTTAATCTGGCCAGTCGATTAATTTTGATTGTTTTTCACAGCCAACAATAAACCTATCGTTTTTTCTCAATTTTTTACTGCGTACGTATGTTATGTAAACACTAAAGCGCTATATATAATACAATATTATTACTATTATTATTATGACCAAGGCAAACGTTGACCTGTTGCCACCGCCGCCGCCTAATTGAGCTGAAAGGATGCCAATAATTTACAGTATTTCTTTTTTTTTCTTCTTTTTTTGCAACAAATTGTTTTTTTTTTTTTTTAACTCCTTTGAACCGATTGATATTATTATTATTATAAGTGTACAAAATAATATTTGTTTTTTGGCACGACATCGGCGGTGAGTCATTTTGCCCGTACCCAACTAAACGGTATAATAAATACATATATATATATATATATATATATATATATATATAATATAACACTCTTGGTGTCTCCATTTAACCCTTTGGGGGCCCAGGCGAAACGCTTAAAGACCAATATTATTGTTTATGCCAAAACGATCAGTGTCGTCGTACAAACTTTGACGTGTGCGTCCAATACACGGTGTTTGTGCCAAAACCGGCGGCGACAGACTCCTGCGTCGTTTCTGACCGTGAACGACGACAGAACGCAATCGCTGGAATTCACTTTCGATACGACGATGATGATTTTTAAGTTTCTCATTTCTCAAATACTTTCTTAGAAATTCTAAGCGAGCAGCCAAACCTGAGCGTTATTAAAATTAAAAATTGTTTGTTGAAATTTAAAAAAAAAAATGTAAACAATAAAATTATAATTGTATATTTATTCACTTCGAATACGACCGAACGACGATTTCAAATAGGAAATGTTTTTTCAACTAGAAATTATAAGAAGTTAATTACATAAAATTGAAAATATTAAATCAAAGAAGTATTTACAAAAAAAAAAAAAAAAATGATTTAAGTTATTTGAAAATGTACTTGAAAAAAATAATTTAAATTTAAATTGTCGTTTTTATATTTAAATGAAGAAACGCCCAGATTGGATTTCAAGCATTCAAATTACATAAAATACTTTGTGTAAAAATAATTATAAAATATCTAATTTGTGTGAAAAAATTCTATCTCAGAATAAGAGTATTTAGCTAAGTACTTACTTTGTCCGAATCCGTCGTGTTTCCCGATCCAAACGAGGCCAACGAACCGCGGTCCAAGTTCTCTTCTTCCAAATCTCTGAAAAAGAATTTCAAGTTTTTAACAGATCAGCATATGTATCGGCAATTTTGAATGCAGCTGTACGCAATGACTGGACATACCGGCTGCATCGTTGACTTTCGGGCTTGAGTTTGGCCGGACTCTTGGGCATGCACATACGCAGTGCTGAATTGAAGTACGTCTCTTGGATGACTTCCCTGAGTTTTTTCACCCACGTCTGTTTGGCTTCCAAGGTAGAAGCTTTCAAGACGATGCGGTAGTCAGATATCGGCGCTCGACCCGTCCACACGGCGAATTTACACTCGTCGCCTTCTATGTGCTCGGTGACGCCGAGTTCGGAAGTCTAACGAAAACAAAAAATAAGAAAAAATTACGTTTACAATTTACTCGTTATTGTTCGATGTCTTTCGAACATCTTACCATCAATTTGTTTTTGTACAAGTATTTCACTTTTGGATTGTTCGAGTTGTCTTTGACGTGTTTGGCAAATACCAAATACAACTCGAATAGGAAACAGTGACGTTCGCGGCTCTTGCGCAACAGATGATGCCTCGAGTCGGACACATACAGGGTGTCCTGGACGACTACGTCGCCCAGCTCGTCGGTCGAGACGTCGCACCCTTCCAACAGGGACAAGTGTAGCGCGTCGTTGGCCTTCCTCGGCACGCTCAACATCACGTCCAAGCCGTCCTTGATTTCGCCCTGGCCTTCTTTGCAACACGACTGGAGGTCTTTCAACAACAGCTGGTACTTGGTGATCCGTTGCACCGGTTTAATTAAGTAGGCCGCTATCGGATGGTCGATGTTATGTTTCTTTTGCAGTTCTTCGAATACGCCGCCGCACGAACCCGAGTGTTGCACTAGTATGGCGTTGGATTCCGGTTTGTTCTTGCAGTATTTCACGTACATATCAAATTTCTGTGCCCAAGTCACGAAACAATGGCCCACATCTTCGGGCATGGTTTCGTACTTCTCCAACTCTTTGAGGAAAACGTCTCTGTGGAAATTACGTATGTCCTCGATGTTACCGAACAACACGTCGACCCGTCCGTGTAAGCCGATTGGAACATTTTGCAGCGCTCTGATTTCGTCCAAGTATGCTTTTATACAAACGTCCAAGTCTTTCACGTAAGTCCGTTCGGTTTGAAGGAGTTCGGCCATGATAAATCTAAAAGCAATGTTAAGTAGTTAATATAATCAGTTGGTGGTTTTTCTTTTGCATTCCACTTTTACTCACTCCTTTCGTCTGGCAGATCGTCTCTTCTCTTCGTTCAGTTCTTTTAGATCTTTGGTCGTACATTCTTTCATTTTTTGTTCCAAATTCGGATCAGAATTGCGGTCGATGGACAAGTCACGCATGTCGGCGTGCTCTTGTATGCCCAAACTCTTTTCCAATTCCAGTCTTGATTAAAAAAATATTAAGTTAACTCGGTTTATTGAAAGCCTTTTTGCATAAAAATTGTATTTTGAAAAAATTCTTACCTATATTTATCCATTCTGGAACTAAAATGTTTGTAAGTGTTGTCGACGGCGGCCACCCATTGCTTTATAGCATTAGCGTGGGCGTGTCCTTTCTCGACAAGACTATCGGCTAATTGTATAAGCAGCTTGACTTTTTCGCGGGTTTCTTTGGCCGATGTCTTGAACTCATTGTGTTCGCGCAACAATTGTCGCGTTTCGTCCTAAATGGCAAAAGTTCTCTACTTAGTAAATATTATGATTGAATTAAACCTTTCTCATCGTGTGACAAACCTGTGTTACGCCGACAGTGGTATGAGTGTTCAAGTACTGTTCGCCGGCACTGTGTATCCACTCCATGGCTTGTTTGGCCGATTTATCAAACAGCACAAACTGTTGACATTGGTCGAGACGCTTTTTCCTCTGCGACCAATGATCGAGCACTTTGTTTTCTTGGCCCGACAGTTTTTCCAGAATGTTCTTAACTCGCGCCTCCGACACTGTATCCATTGCGGCCATTGACTGGTTGGCGCAACTGTAGTACTGTAGACTCCGATTGGTGTACTTTAAAAACGTCTCGGCCGTCCGACGCGCCAACGTGCACGCCTTGAGGAAAGCTTCTTTTTGTTCCTGGTGTTTCGTACACAGCTGTCCGAGCTTTTCGGCCTCGATAGTACCGCCGCCACACCAGTCTTCTTCGCGACGATACTCTCTGTCGAGACTATCCATCACGGAACACACCTACAGTAAAAAAAAAATGTATTGTTTAAAGTTAAAATTAATTACTTAAGCTTTCCAGTTAAAATTGAACTGGATACGACGATATTTGATGTCGTACCTGTTCGGCCGTTTTGTAAAAGTTTAGACTGGCCGTGACCAATTTGTGGCGTTCTTCGGCGCAAGTGACCAACTGTTGCCATCGTTTAGTCACCTCGATGGCCATTTCTTTCACAGTGGAGGAATCAAAATGATTGGACGCAACCAGATTTTCGGCTAGCTGTTTAACTTGAACGGCAGCCGAATGGGTTTTCTAAAGAAAAAAAAAATAACATATAAACAAAAATATAATACAACAAACTCTAATTGAAAACTCGTGTTGCACTTACTTCGATGGCGACTTGGAATTGCTCGTGTTCTTTTTTCAGAAGCTCAGCGTCCGCCAAACATGTAGGAATGGTAAAGTTGGCCGACAACATGGATTCACCGTTCCTGATCCAACTTATTACCTAAAAAAAAAAACAAGCAAACTATTAACAAAACAAGTTCTGACTTTAATTTACAAACGGGCTAGCGTACTTGAGAAGCGTCGTTGTTGAACTGACAGAGCTGAACGATCTGATCCAAACGGGTACGCTTGATTTCGGACAACTCCATCAAGTCCATATGGCGCTCGTGCAAGAATTCCAGCAATACTTGCACTCTGGTCTGGGCCGTATACTGACTATCGGCCATCACACCAACACCGGACTTGTCCAATACCTGTTCGAAAACAACGGTGGACGTTAGCGTTAAACGTTACGAATGCGCCTTGAGGAGGCTTTGGGGCTTAAATCCTATTATCATTTATTACTCACTTGAGCCAATTGTTCGCCTTGCTCCAGCGCTTGGTAAACGGCGGCTTGCATCTGCGTAACGGACTCATTGTGTCGGCACAACCGGGACTCGGCTTCGGACAGCGTAGAGATCACCTCGTTCTGGTTCCGTTCCAACTCGTTGGCCCAAAGTTCCAATTGCGACGACACCTGGCCAGAAGAAGTAGACAAATAAATAATTAGTATCAACACAAAAATACAAAATATTTTGTTTCACAATGTTTGTTATCGATTGATAACAACTTGTTGATTCGCTTGTTACACTTGTTGATCGAACCGAAATGTTTACAAAGTAGTTTTTTTTTTTTATAAAAGAAGGTCGAAGAGATAACGGTGTAACTAATAATATAAAGCAACGGAAAATCCGTGAAAAGACCTCGGCTTTTGTTGCGACTGTTATCATCACCAAACACCACGGCCGGGCATTGGCACTATACAATACTACATAATATTGTGTTTTTATAAAAACAACAATCTTGCCCGCAGCAAGAAGCGTGTCCCGGTTTTAGGAGAGCCAAAACACTAAGAATAGAAAACCGCGGCTGCTAGCCTAATATCCGTCAAAGGGCAAAAAAACATGCACGGTCTTCTATGATAATTAACGCGAGGTAAAACTGTAGTAACGCCAAATAACAAAAACAAAAAAATTATTTTTATTCAAAAAATATTCAAATGATATCAAACAAATTTTGATACGGGCTAATTCTTTTTTTTTTTTGTCAAAATTAAAATCTTTAGTGAAACAAAAAAAAAACCAATTTCACTTATCCTCTTTAATTCTACGAATATCCCTATAACGTTTTTTTGTTTTACGAGGGCTAGATTACCAATGCACTCATGTCGACTGAGTTCACTATTAATTTTGATACATACATTTTTTTGTGATTTATAAATACACCGTAGTCAAATTTATAAAAAATATTTAATTTTGAAAATAAACAATTTTAATTTACCGAATTTAAAGTGTATTCTTATGAGCAAAGTTCACATTAAATTAGCAGGGAACTATAAAATACATTTGGAGTAGATTTGAAGAAGGACGGCTGTATCAAAAAATTCGACCATAATAAGTATCACTCTAATATATATTTCTAAATAAAAATCATCCATTTACATCCATTACCTCACATAATTGTTTTTCATTTATATATTTTTTTTCTTTAACAAACAGATCTTTAAGTTTGGAGCAATTGTATCAAATCATAGCCTACAAATAATTTTCGTTTAGATTAAATTCACTAAAAAAATATTTAATATCTGTCACTTGAAGGAAAGACATTGCATTTAGAACATGTCATATGATCAGCTGATTTCCTGTCTCTTTACGTTCGCTTCTTATCAGTTCAGACGAATAATTTCTTATCAGTTATCAAAAAAATTATCGATATCACATTATCACCAATTTATTCTCCTCCCTCCCACTTGTGTCCCAAGCCACAAAGATATATCATGTCAAAAGTCAGTCCTAGTTGGTAATTATTTTTTGATACACAAATCACAATTATTGCTATATTCTTGGCAAGATTTATTACACAACGCCAATGAACTCGATAAACTATTAGAGGCTATACAAAATGAAATAAATCTCATATGTTTTTACTCACCTCAAGTGCGTCCCGTTCGAAAATTCTCAGTCTCAGGCATAAATCTAATTTTAATTTTCTAGTAGCCCACAGCTGTTCCAACTCCAAACGCTGCTTGTTCAACCTTTCAAGTGCAGCGTCCACTGCGGCTACCGAACCCGTGGGGTCCATTTCTGCTGTCAGACCTCCACTCCTAATAAACAAAAACAAAATATACATTAATAAAAACAATTTTTAAAAGCAACAATAATTGGGGGCACTATAGTAGAGTGCGTTTCGACCACCGACTCGATTCGTTCCAAGCAACGGTCTAGCAAAACTCGACAATTGTTTTTCGTCCAAAAAATTTTCCGTTTCACCTTAGTGGAATTATTCATCGTTAACGATTTATGTTTTTTGAACATTTTAATTTATCAATTTCGAAAACTAAATGCGAGTTTGCCTGAAATACGAGTACGACCTTACTGTAGTAGGTATTTCGTCTACAATAAGAAGTAAATGTAACCGAAAGAAAGATAAGTAAAAAAAAATTGGCAATATTATAAATATATATATATACATTTTTTTTTATCTATAAACACACAATATTCAACATCGATGACTGTATCTTTGCACACGCTGTTAACAACCTAACGATAAAAAAAATGTCCACTAAAATATGTTTGCCTACAAAATGTTATCAAGTGTTTAAATTTCAAGAACGCCCTTGAAGCGTTATGCACTTGGTCTCTATGCTAAGCTTAAAAAAAAAATTAAGACTCTCGAGTAAAAAACATATTGTTAATTGCTCATTATGAATAACTATTATCCAACATTGGGTTTCAAGAAATGTCAAGCCAAAGCCCAAAACACCTAAATTAGATTGTAGGTACTCTATTCAAGATTACTTATCTCTCATCTGTAGTCTCTTATCAAAATCCTTTATCAGCTTTCCCTTATCAGAAATCGTTATTTGTTTTGATAAAATATTGGTGATAAGAGAGCATTTAACAATTTCTGTGGCCGTAAAAAGAGAAATAAAGAACAAGTTCTTACCTTTTCGGTGTAAAGGGTTGGTATTTTTTGTAAATTAATATAAGTATGTTTAACACACGTTTCAGTAAGATCAAAATCTGTGCCATTGTTGATCTTTAATGTTTTGGAAGATGTGCCTCCTCATCACGCCCTTCCTTATCTCTTCTTATCATCCCTCTTTATCATTTAACCTTCTTATTATAAACTACCCGATGAATCGTGTGAAATGTTAAGACTGTTAGTGGGTAGGTGCCGTAAAACATATTAATATTATGTTTGTGCTTGAAGTGGAGGAAATTTCTTCCATTTTTCTAAATTACCCATTGATCTCCAACCTGAACTGATGACATTTTTTTGTCTATTACCTGAGCTCTTGTAACAGCGCCTCCCCTTCGGTTATTGTGGAATGACAAGCGTCCAGGCAGGAGTCCCGCTGATGACTGACTTGTTCCAGAGCTCGTTCGGTACCTTCCAGAGTATCGGCCGCCTCGTCACACCCATCTGTTTCAGCTCTAAGCTCATCGAGCCAACCTTGGAGCTGCAACCGCACACGGCAGGTTAGAATAGAAATAAATAAACTTAAGTAAGATTAATTTTAAAAAAGTAATCCAATTATATAAACGTAGACATTTTCAATTTCCCCTTATCACCGTCCCATCCCATCCCATATTCTTCCCTTTCTATCTTGTTCCCTTTTCCCTCCAGTCAACAGCACCATGCAAATTTTCGACATAAGACATATTTATGTCAAAAACGAAACGATAATATTGTACTTGTACTTTACCTCGGATTGATGAGTATAGAAATTCACAGCCCTTTGCAAACGCCGACGTCTGGCTTGGACACGAGCCGCAAAGGCGGCCACATGACTTTCGAGTTCAGCAGCTACCGAACAAATGTCTGAAGCGTCGCATTCGCCGGTCTGAGATAATTCTTCGGCGGCCGTTAGTAGCTTTTCCGCATTCGTATAGGTGTTCTGCAAAGGAAGACAAAAGAAAATGCCCAAATTAATACAATATTTCCGCCAAAGTGACTCCAGACAATGATTTATTATTAAATAATGAGAATTTGGAGAAACAAAGCTCTATTTTGCTCTTTATAAATTTTCTCATTCACATCGAAATCATCACGATTTCGATTAAATAATAATGTATTGAAACAATTTAGAGAAAGAAAAATATTTTTAAAACAATTAGTGTTTATATAAATAGCCAAATATTTTCGATGACTGGTCCCTTTTAACAAATTCTAATAATTTTTAATTTAAAAATAATATTATATCTTATCAAGTATACATAACAATGAACATAAATAGCAAACTTTGAACACTGAACATATACATACATAACATTATATGACGAAGGGTTTTTTTAACACAAAACGATGTGATTACATAAGTAGATAAATTATTTATCATAAAGCTATTTTTGTCAAATATGACAAAAATGCTTTTTACCAAATGTCCATTCTAATATTTAATTTGCAGATTGAAAGAGAAATATACATTTTTTGAGAAAAATAGGAAAACAAACAGGGTGCAAAATTTGATTTCCAAAATTTTCGGTCATTCTATTTCAACGAACCAGACAAAATTACAACCTACTTTAAAGTTGGGCATTAATCGGATAATTTTTTTTATCTAGCTAAAGCGAAAAATAAAAAATAATATTTTTATTTAAACGTTTATTATTCGATTATCTATTTCGAAATTATTTGTACCAAACTATTCTGTTATATTTTAGTAGTAGTTTTTTTTTTTTAATTTATTATGTTTAATTAAAAGTATAAATAAAAATGTAATCGGATACAATTTTCAAATCATCAAATTGTAAAAAAACTAAAAATATTTTCGACACTTTTATCATAGCACAAAACATAAATAAAAAAAAAGTAAAAAAAAAATGTAGTTAGGTTTGCTTATGTTAGGTTGATTTAAGATTAGGTTGGGTTTTAGATTTGTGATTAGATCGTACAACAACCCTAACCACCAACCGGGTAAAATATTGATATTTACTTTAGGCATGCTGCTAAAAGGAGATGCGTTAAATCCAAAATATTAACAACACTTAAGCGGCGATTATCGAAACCACGACGACACTGAGCAACAACCACTCGGCCGAACTAGCAGTTTACATAATAACATTAATAAGAGTAGAACAGCGTCGGCAAACGACTGAGGAGGCAGCAGCAATAGTACTACTATACAACAATAATAATAATAATAATTGCTCGGTTGACACGGCAAATTACACGTTCGATTCCGATCTCGTTGAGAATACAAGGCGAAATCCAACTGGCAAAATGCAAATGTCTCTATTGTGCGACAAAAGAAGCTCATTAAGGTATAACGTATTGTTCAACGCGGAACCGATGTGCGTATAAGTGCTGTATTCGAGATGAGACCAAGACGGACAAAAAAATGTTCAAATTATAATATTCTCTAACGAAGTCCGTTTGTAGAAAAAAAAAAGGTAATTGCAAATTTTTACATTGTTTTTTTACTATTCCATTTCTTCCGTACATTTTTTTCAAAGTCAAAAGTTCGAACCGATATTTTCCACGCTGTAGACTTAGTCCTTATATTATGTACAAGTTCTTCCAACCGCATTGATTTAACCGATAAATTAACCGTATTCAAGTTTTCTCTCCAAATATTCACACAGTTGGGTACAACAGTCTTTATTGAATTATAACAGGCAAATGCATCTAAAAAAACCTATACAAGATTGAAACAAGCGAAGGTCATTATTGAAAAAATCTGGATCTCGAGGTTGGTGAAAACATACAAGTCAATTATTCAGACAATGCGTTAATTACACAAAATAATATGACTATTATTTTCCAAATTTAAAACGTCTCGTTTATAATTTATCGTTTGTACGCCAAACAAATATGTTAAATGCGAAAACGCTGAATAATAATATTACATTTCGCAGTATAATAATATAAAAATACACTTGGGAGAATTAAGTGTAAACAAAACAAAAGAATAATAACCTTGCCGACAATTAACAGAACATACGCCTTACGCTTTATTACCATAAGTAACGAGAAGGTATTATACAGAGAAAAAATATACACTTAAAATAATATTGGACTTAACAAAACAAATTTGTTTTATCTTAGATAATTAGATAGATTTAAAAATTGCACCTCGGCTACTATTTAGACATTCTAGTAAATCATAAACCTCTTAAGGATATTAAAAACGTCTGTCTTGACAGTTATTGTGAAATATTTAATTATAAAATATAATATATTTCTTGTGTGGGAGATACTTGGACTTTTAATTTTCGAACGACACACCTTTCTTCGTGTTATGATTTATAGAAATATATCCGCACCGTTCTCTAGATCACCTATCGACTGGTACAAGCATGGCGTTAAAAATCAATTGTTCAAATCTAGATCCAAACTTTATCGATCAATCAATCGTTTTTTTTTTTTTTTAAACAGACAGACCATTGAGGCTTGTTATTATTAGAATCATATTAATATATCACCAAATCAAATGTAATACATATTTAGGTTACCGTTGTTGAAATCATAGTACAGTTATCGACACGGACTGATCCAGCTTAAGAAAAGTGGTTGTCCATTGTCAATGAAGAAATTCACCAACAATGCTTTCACACGAGGGCACATTCCACATGAAATATTCATCGACACAAACATTTTCTTTTGAAGTTATAATTTTCTCCGAAAATTTGGATTTGTTTGCTCTTTAAATACGCACTTATTTTTCACAAGAGAGAAAAAAATCATATATTTATTACCAAAACAAAGATCACTTTATAAAACAAATCCGGTTAGGTTTGGCTCGAGATATTTTAATAAATATCCAAAAGAACTTCGTTAATTTATGAAGTTTATTTTGAATGATTCAAATGATTCAAATTTCTGTCCCTGTGAGTTTTAGAGTCAAGGCTTATGAAGTTGTGAAGACTTGTACAATGAATACAAAAATTCACTTGAAGGTCGTTTAAATAACATAACTAATTGTTTATAATAAAAATCCCAAGTCTGTGGTGTTGACTTTGCAGAGTCCTTTATAGAATCAAACCTAACCTAACTAATCGTGGATTTTTCAGGGGAAATGATGTTTAAGGATTAGTTTTGTCTCGGAATACATCATAATAATGTCAGGTCAGAGTAGCATTATATGCTCTGTACACGGTGCACACACGTTATACCGTTTTTAATAGTGAGTTTTTTTTTCATGAAGAACACGACAGCAAACCAGCATGAGTTTACATACAAGTACGGATGTCGCTAAATATGGACCTCGGCCTTCGTTGCTGTTTTTTTTTTCATCTCTCATTCGCTTTCTCTCGATTTTAACGGGCAAGTAATAATAATATGATGATGATGATGCTGACGGCGATGGCTACACGGTTAGCAATACAAACCGCAGGACTATCATAGCTGTACTCTGAGATACCTTAAAAAATACTGTCTAGCTATACTTAGACACGTTTAGTTTTGAACATAGCTCGGAGCTATACTCGTTGGCATTTGTATCTTTTTTTACCCAACAACTTTTTGCTCGACTTTGAAAAAATGTCCAAGTCAAATAACTAAACGAAACAATTTTTATTTTGTGCATATTTTCCAAAGTCGAAATCAATCGAAAACGTTAATTTTAAAAAGTTTTGTTTACTAGATACCTAATTTTATTGTGTGGTTATTGGTAAGTGCTGTTATCACACAAATATTGGAACGATTATTAAATAATATCAACGGTTAATATAAATAATTTCTCATTCCTAAATTGTTTCAATTTGTTTTAAAATACTTCTCTAATAATAATCATACAATAATAAAGGGAAAAAATATGCTTGGAAAATGTCAAACAACTTCGTTTAAAAGTAATACGACAATTTTTTTAGAAGTATTATATTCAATTGGAATTACATAAAAACATGAAATTTGTATGAAACGAACCTGTTTTATTGTAAATTGGTTTTACCTATTTACACAAAAATTGTTTTCTCTGTGATCTAATTTTAGTGCGCAGTTTAACCAAAACCTTGACCTTTATAGGCAAACTAATTAAGAGCAAAGTAGTTTCTCCTAGGAAGTTGATAATAATTACCATTTAAATATTTCCTGAATGGGGATGATTAAATTGGGTCTGAAAATTAAACTGAAGGTAGGTCTATAATGAGGCTATAAGGTACAATGTGTTTTTCAAAAATATGTAGTCAAACTTTTTTAAGGAAATTCCAAAAAAAAGAGTAAGTTTAATTGTAGATAACTCATCGCTACGTATGAAGAATTTAACATTCAACAGGCATCTTAAAATAAATTAGGAATTATTAAGAATATACAAGTCTTATAGAATTAAATAATTGTTTAAAATTGTATAATAATGATTTCCCAATCGCTCAATCTAAATGATAGGCATATTATTACCAAAACCCAAGTTTGAATACTATGCTAAGTAGTAAGTTTTTAACTAGACAAGACACACCTCGGGTAAAGACGTAACTAAAAAAGAAAAAAATTTAGGACAAAGGTTAAACTAATTATTTTATTTTTTACTCGCAACCGGATTATTATGTAACTTTTCATGAGCGAAAAAAACATGTTAATGTTTCGTAACAATTATATTTTGTTTATTCATTATCGATCTTAATACACTTTCTACACCATAACTTGATGAATATATTTGTTTTAAAACTTTTACAACGAATAAGTATAAAAGTAATGCTTGACTAGACGAGGGCGAAGCAGCATAATAGCAATCCAAATTGATCTATGAAATCATATTTTAACAGTATTTTCCAACTATAAAATCGTCTTGGGACTGATATATATATATATTTTTTTTTTGTTCACCATAGTCTGTGGCTTAGGTCAAAATAAGGGTCGACCTTATATATTTTGTTATATTTTCGCCTTTAACTAAAACTACTGACAAAATGACCTTTGAAAGTTTTTAATTTCCACGAGTCTATGTGTTTGATTTGTTCTTTTCTTTTCACAAAACTTTTTAATTTTTTGTCCCGGGAGTGCTATTATTTTTTACACGATAAAACTAACCATACATGTCAAAGTCGACCTTAGTTTTAAGCATTCAAGTGCCAACCAACACATATCACTTTTCCAAAAGAAAAGAAAATTGTTGCCCCAAACACATACACGCGCGTTTTTATCAGCTCAAAAAGAGTATTTAAAATGTATAAGTTGAAAAGTAAGTTTTCAGGGATGAGGGGAAGTATCTATTAAACGGAAATGTCTGGTCAAACGAGATTGATTTTTATTATTACTATTATTATTATTATTTTTTTTTTTTTGATGATCGACACATCGTATGACACTTGTTGTAATTTCCGATTGGTAACGCCTGTACAGAATATAATAATTGAATTTATTATTATTATTCCGTCATTGAAATTCGCGACGGACGAAAATCACACATATTTTAAAAGGTTTCCTATTTTGAAAACCAGCTCGCGGCCATCATTTAATATTATATAGCGGTGTTTTAATGCATCGTGTACAGAACTCTAAGATGATGTACCTTTTAAAATTTTCACCTTGATTATAAATGTTTTGTAGGACGTTTTTCTGACACAAAGAGGAGGGAATAGGAGGAGCTAGTAATTAGTGTAGAAGAGATGGTGAAATAAGGGTAAATAGATTATTCTCGGATAACTAATAAGAGATTAGTCTGATCACAGAGTAAATTAATTCAGAGTGGACACCTAATGTAAACAATATGATTTGCGGATGGAGGCCGCCATCTTCTCATATTTTATCCTAAAATAATTATACCCATAAACAACTTAATGTATAGAAATAACACTATACTGATTGATAAATGAGAAAACGGCCGCCACGTTTTTTAGCGATAAGTTTATCCACGGTGTTAAATTTTAAGGCAGAAAACACGTTCATGGTCTTTCCTACTCCGACGAAAAGATTGAACCTTATTTCTTACAAGATTTCAAAATTATTAAGTTTTAATTAAAAATATAAAAGAATACTCGATGAAAACAATCGAATACGAATTTCCTTCATTATTCCTTTATTGTCCAAGCACGTAATGTATAAGACGTTTCGCAACGTATTATTATTTTAGTAATTCCGCGTTAATGTCAGTAATTAACAATACAAAGTCGTCCACTTTAATTGTTTTTGGTCTATACCAGCTTAATTATTATTAATATTACAAACAAACCAAATTCCCACGGCCGGTTCCTCGACGGTATAATAATATTAAAGTTTCTTTACCATCAACGGCCTTGCGAATAGGATGAAGTAATGAACTCTATTCAATATAGAACAAAAAATCTAGTTTACTTATGATTAGAAAATATTTTTTTTGTTTTTTTTTTTTTTAATACAAAACAAACAGAAAAAACTATACCGAGTTAACCGGACGGATAGTGCCAATGTATATGAGAAAAAAAAATAGTAGAGATTAATTCGATCATACTATTATATACATAGATATATCATATCAAGGAATTATGAGAGGAAGAAACTTATTGATGTTCATAATCAAAGTACACGTCATAACAAAACACAAAGAAAACCCGACCAAATCATAGCTAATATTAGTTGAGTTATGTAACAGATTTTTTTTACAATAATTACAATCGATTTCAACAAAATAAGATTAAATGAGAAAAAGCCTATTGTCCAAAGAATAAGGTTTAACTTCATACATTTTTTAATAAAAAAATATTCGGCTACTTTTTGTTTAATCAAGCTATCCCCTAAAGCAGGGTTGGGTCACGTTCAAATGCAATTTTATTCAACAGCTTTAACGTTTTCCAATATTGAAGGATTTGATGTATAAACGAGATAACTCAGAATTTTGTAATTTTTCAAGGTGGTAATAATATATGTTTTTTTATCCCATTTACTCCGAACGGTAAGGATCAAATGTGTTTTGTGCTATTTTTTTTACAGAGAACAGTTAAGTTAGGTTAAGTTTGTTTTATATTTATGTAAATATGTACCTTTGTTCTGATGTGCAGGTACAAGCCAAAAATCGTTAACAAGTGATAATCCCACAACGACTTAGCTTCAAAAAAAAAAAAAAGGCGGCACAACAAGTAAGTAATATCGCGACCACGTTGACTTCACAAAATACAATAACAATTTAATCGAGTGTCATTCGAGACATTTCGGTTGCACTTTTGACGAGATTTAAAAGAAAAACAGTTTAATATATGTATATATATATAAATATATATTCACCAAAGATAAAGCCTAAGTGTAACAAACGAACACATCGACCACGACCGACGTACGCGGCTAAACTGAAGACGGGTCACAGAAGAAATCGAGGTTGACGGTGTAGACCTACCTATTCCTCCTTCTCCGCCTACTATTATTGCTACTACCTTCCTAGGTGCTACTATTACTAGGTAGCTACTATACTACAACATATTATTATAAAATACACATAATATTCATAATATAACATCACAGAGTCCGACCAAAATGTGCCCCCTTTTGCCACACTCCCCGGGGGCAGGCCTTGTCGGTTTCGACAATAACAACAACCGGTATTGAATGCTATTTCAAATTACATATTTTACAATTGAAAGTAATCGAATTGATTAAAAATAAACACTCCGATGCGAATCTGTAGTAACGTTAAAAATAATAAAATACAAATTATTTACTGAAACCTGTTGACTGTTGATTCGGCAAACATAGCAACCTGGAAACTATTGAATACGGTAAAAGTGCGATTTTTCTCTTTTTTATTGGATTTTCTTAATAACAAAAAAAGTTGCCACACTACAAGATAGCGTTTTTAAGTTTTTCTCTTACATATTTTGTACATAAAACGCCGCATCACATGTTTTTAACATTTGAAAGAGTTAATTTTAGCCAACACTTCATGAATACCTAAGTGATATAACGTACCAATATCGTAGTAACGGTAACAAGGAACAAGGTGGACGGTTCCATACAAATTAGACGCAGTTGTATTTTTTTCGAATTGGTCGGCTAATTAGATCAGGGAAAACAATTATAATATGTTTACAATGAAAATGCTAAAAAACGGTATATTACATTATGCGCCGCGACCAATCGGCCAAAAGGTTATACACACCTCCTAATAACCCCATTCCCCTCCCCCCCAAAAAAAACCTACCCAAAATCACTTGACGCATGATTTTGAAGTTTATTTTAACTACATACCGGTCAACCGATTATAGGTGGGGGTGGATTGGGTTAGGTTAGGTTATGACGACACTCGTGGCCGAATTTGTGATCGAAAACTAAACCCGCTTAATTTAGCTTCGATACTGAGAGCAGAGAAGGTATTGTTTTTACAGTTATTACTTTTCTAGTTTTGTGTCTAATCCCCCGATCTAATCTCCTAAACCGATTTCTTCGTGTAGCAAGTCAATGGATCCGAAATCGTATTTGGAACGTACTTTGTCGGATCAAGAACTTAAGAAGTTTATAAATATATTTGTAAATTTGTGTGAGCTATTCTTTAGAGCAGTACTAAACAATATTTACAGTAAAACCCAAGAAAATAACATTATACCTTTCTCCTCGGAGGAATGGAAACTTTTTCTTTGTTTCATTTCATGGGTAGTTAGAGGGTATTTTTTTCACATAATTTTATCCACATTTTCCACGAACAGCGACACAATAATTCACCTTTGTTTTAACAAATCTACATACATATGAGTGTGCTTTATAAAGCTACGCCATTCATGTACACAAAAAAACTTTGTAACATCCGGATCAGAATTAAATCCGGACGAAACTTCTCCCTGTTGAAACCCTTCTCTCTGTTTTTGTTATTATATTTCGCATATATGGGTTTTATATAAAATAAATAAATAAATCAACGGCCTCATTGAAATACCTACCTATTTAGTGATGTTTATGATAAACAATACATTAATGGTAAGTAAAAGCCGAACTGTTGTTTTATGGCTTCTGTGAAGTATGTACTTACAAAATAGTTCCTACTAAAATACTGAAGTAGAAACATAAAATAATACTTTCCATTGATCAAAAATTAAATTTATCATCGAAAAGTAGCAATCTTAATGTTAATTATGTTTACTTGATTTGGCAATAAAATGAATGCATTATTAATAAACGATATACATATTTATTTTGTATAGAATTATTAAGATTAAACTCCCATACGTACCTAATTGTAAATTCAATAAAAAATAAACTAATTGAATTTTTTTTCTATAACAAAAAGTTATAACATGAAAATATTTAGCAGAATAAAAAAGTGTGAAAATAAACAATATATAGGAAAGAGTGAGACGAGTTGAGTTAGCCGTAATTTCAGCCGCAAGTTGTGGTTTAAATAAAAAATGAATATAGACGTTGAAATCACACTCAAACACACACAGAATTTCGAAAAGGTAATATCCATTTATTGATTTTAAAAAGTGCGATTTTCGGATAAGCTTTAATGGATATGAAATTTTCAATAAAAAAAAACAAAGTCTGTATGATTTATTTTTTGTGGTTTATTGCGTTGTACACAATATTGTGTACTCACATATGACTTATACTTTAAAAATTATACGATATCAATCCGAGGAGAACCTAATAGACTCGTGCCAGCTAACAAAAAAAAAACGTGATGTATATAGGTGATATTATTTTATGTAAGATTTCGTCATAACAGCATTGACCTAGGAGATTTTTCTTTAATGGTGCACGTTTATTATTACTACTACTGTTCGTAATCGATATTATTCAAAAATAATATAATAATTATGCGCTCCGTTCGAGCAAACCGGTCAAAGCCAAACTACGTTGAAAATTAATGCATTTATTCACACACAAAAAACTTGCATAGCACACAAAAGTGTCGAAACTTGAAAAAAACACAAACAGTAATTTCGATAATGATTTACAGAAAAAAAATAATAATAACGGTTTTTTTTCCGGCTTATTTTTTGTTATACTGACAAGGAATTTACCGTTTAATTTAAAAGCACCTGTTCGAAAAAAATGTAATTTAATTTTGTACTCGCTAAAAGTCACCCTTTGGTTTTATTATTATTAACGTTATCTCTGTATTCGATTTTTAATTTTATCGTTCAAAGTCCTGTAACATATACAATTTTTTTTTATCATAAAAAAAGTAGACCCACTTTTTCAAACATAGTAGCATAGTTTCAGAGCAGCTGAAAGTCGGTCACTTTTGACTCTTCGGATTGAGATTATAGAGGCTAAATCCATTAGATATGTGAAGCCCACTTGGCGTGCGCATTGCTTAGGGCTACTAAGTAACATAATTGTTTTTTGCATGCACTTAAGAATCCAATTAGCCGTTTCGCGTGTCGTCGGCTTCGACAAGTTTACCCGTCTAAGTTGTTGTAATCAGCATAACGACATATTATGTTCATAGTAAGTCAGGTTATAGTCAGGTTCAAACCTTTCAAAACGCTTTAAGCTCTCACAAAACTGGAGGGTAAAAATAAATTCCACAATTCAAACATTTCAAAAAGTATTTATTCAAAACTCGTTATCGACCAGTTATTATTTTAAATACAAAAACCTGCTTATAATAGTTAATTAAAACATATAGGTTTCTATTTGAATTATTAAAATTTTCCATTTAAACAATATCTTTTACTCGGATATTAAAATGTATAGCTTTTGATAATTTAATAATATAATAACGATTTTATTTGTACATTTTTTAGCCAACACAATTAGTTCATTCAAATATTTTCAATTTACGCTAATTATGTTTTTTTTTCTGCTCCAATTACGTTTACGGTGCCTGTGTGAGGACTTTCAAGGGTATATCTGATATGGAGGCTGTACAAAAGATAATTTTCAAGTTGTCTGTAAAATCGTGGTTACGTTTTTTTTGTCGTTACTTTTGGGGTTTTATTTTTAAGTCTTTGCAGCAGAATGAAACATGCTCTCATACATTTCCATGTCCCCAATCATAAGTTTGCTGTACAGTTTTCCACGCCTACCTCTGTTTACTCCCTTAAATCCTCTTACACTATGTGCTCTTTCATTTTTATCGAGACGGCAACCTATAAGAGTAGTTTACAGACAAAGAGGGGTTCTCTTTGTGCGTTAACATCACATATTCGGTGTATTATATTATATCATAACGGCTTAAAAAAAAATAATAATAATAAGGCGTGAACAAAACCACTTCCTGCGGCCAGGCCAGTTCATAAAACCCCTTTCAGAAACTCAAAAACAAAAAACACCACCTTGTTCCCAATTCGTCAATCCTCGGTCGTAAAATAAAAATAATCGGTGTAATAGTTAACGGCAACAGCTAACGTGTACACATATTATAATCGTTTATTGTAATTTGAGATTTTCTTTTTACTATATTCGACCCAACGTTGTTAAGGGTTTATTACCATACACACGTATAGGCCTTCGAAACGCCATTGTGTTCCGATCGGTCATTGATATGCACAAGCTGAAGCGACACAACCGTTAACATGGTAATTATTGTGTTATACACGTTATAATTTACCTAATCCGACCGTCGGTCTGTAATTAGTCGGACGAGACCCATGCCGTTGTGACCGTAATAATGTAAAATAATTATAATTGCCCGAGCTAGTGTATAATAATGTTACAATAACGGTAAGCCGTTCGAATAGGGTGGCTAATTGACATGAATATGTCTTATGATCCGACACGCTTTTGTGACACAAAAAGTAGCAGAAGGGGAAGAGGAAATGGGAAAGGGGTACAGTAAACGAGGGGAAGTCTAGAATTCCTGGATAACTTATAAGAGAATAATTAGGCAAGAGAACCAGCGGATGAGAGATTATTGTTAAGGGAATCAGCTGATTAGATACATAATTGATAAGGAAATCCACTGATGAGAGATTATTGATAAGAAACACAAAACAAGTTTATAAACCAATCAGGGGGTGGATACCCACAAAATTTGACACGGGAGAATGATATACTTATCACTAAAAAACGTGGCGGTAATCTTATCATTTATCAATAATAGTGATAAGTCAGGATGAGTAATGCGTTCTAAGGGGAAATCGATTATTGTTTGATAACAGATAAGAGAATCAACGAATAAGAAATTATTGATAAGAAATAGAAA